GCATGGAGTTTCCTCCTGACAGAGAAACCCAGTCTCTGGTGCCCTGGCACCTACAGTTCTCTCTGGGATGGTGAGTTGGTCTCTCAGACAGGTCTCTGGGCTGGCGGCTGAGCACCTGCCAGAGCCAGGGACCTTATCCAGGGATTATCTGTGTGACCAGAGGTCAGTCCCATTGCTTCCTTCACCGTGGGTTTTTCTCTGGACTGGAAAACCAAATCTCTGCTGTTGCGTTGTCCACACATCAGTCTGGGATGGTGATCAGAGCACGCAGGCTTGTGGCTCTGGGCTGGCGACTGAGCAACTGCCAGGATTCAGGAACTCTTCTGGGGTTTAGCTGGGTGACCTGAGAATGGGCCAGGTTGCTTTCCACACTGTGGGGTTTTCTCTCCCCTGGGAAGCACAATCGTTGGTGTTTTAGGGCCCAGAGTTAAGTCTGTTGGTTGTTGTGCAGTCACTGTTGTCCTGCTGGTCAAACGCAGTATCTTCTTGGCACTGCCAACTTGTATTCCCCATTTTACATTTTCCAAAATGCTATAGAACTAAAGCATATCAAATATAGCCTTTCAAATTGACTTCTTTCACTTAACTAGGTACTCTTGTCTATTCTCAATGTAATTTGATATCCCATCTATTATAGTGCTTAAAAAGTACCTAAATTTTTTGGTGTACCAGAATATTTATTTTTTCATTCACTAAAGGACACCTGTTTGCTTCTGGATTTGGGCAGTTAATGAGTAAAATTACTATAGGTATCCACATGTGTGTTTTTATGCAGATCATAATTTTCAACTCATTTGGGTTCATGATTGGGAGTATAATTTTTGAACTGTATGTTAAAACTGTGTTACCTTTGTATGAACTGCCAAACTATTTTGCAAAGTAGCTATATTGTTCTTTTTTCTTTATCTTTTTTTTTTTTTATTGTGTAAATGTACCACACTTTCTGTATCCATTCCTTCATTGAAGGACATCTTGGTTGTTTCCAGATTCTGGCTATTACAAATGAAGCTGCTATGAACAAAAGTCCTTATTGAATGGTGGGGCATCTTTTGGGTATATGCCTAGGAGTGGTATAGGTGGAACTTGAGGTAGCATTATTCCTAATTTTCTGAGAAAGTGCCAGATTGATTTCAAAAGTCGTTGTACAAGTTTACCTTCCCACCAGCAATGGAGGAGGGTTCCCCTTTCTCCACATCCTTTCCAGCATGCATCATCCCTTGAGATTTTTATCTTAGCCATCCTGATGGGTGTAAGGTGAAATCTCAGGGTCGTTTTGATTTGCATTTCCTGAATGACTAAGGATGTTGAGCATTTCTTTAAGTGTTTCTCTGCCATTTGATATTCCTCTGTTGAAAATTCTCTGTTTAGCTCCATTTTTAAATTGGATTACTTGGTTTTGTTGTTGTTTAACTTCCTCAGTTCTTTACATATTCTGGATATTAGCCCTCTCTCAGATGGAGGGTAGATGAAGATCTGTTTCCAGTCTGCAGGCTGTTCTTTTGTTCTCCTGAAATTTGCAGTCAAATGGTGGGAACTAGAAAAGATCATCCTGAGTGAGATAACCCAGAAGCAGAAAGACACATATGATATATGCTCACTTATAAGTGTATATTAGCCATATAATATAGAATAAACATACTAAAATCTATAGTCCTAAAGAAGCTAAACAACAAGGAGGACCCTAGGAAAGATGCTTAATCCCCATTCAGAAAGACAAACAGGATAGACATGGGAAGCAGAAGACAAGGAACAAAACAGGAGCCTACAAAAAACTCTAACCACCTGAGGGTATCAAGGGAGATACTGAGACTCATGGCAAAACTTTGGGCAGAGTGCCATAATCCTTATGAAAGAAGAGGGAGAGAGAAAGACCTAGAGGGGACAGTAACTCCACAAGGAGACTACAGAACCAAAAAATCTGGGCCCAGGGACCCCTGCAGAGCCTGATATTCCAACCAAGGACCATGCATGGAGAGAACCTAGAACCCCTGTTCAGAGGAAGCACATAGGCTGCTCAGTTTCCAAATGGGTTCATTAATAAGGGGTACATTATTCATGTTGCCTCTGACATGAACTCAGTGGCCAGCTCTTTGATCACCTCCCCCTGGGGGGGGGATACAGCCTTGCCAGGCCACAGAGGAAGATGATGCAGGCAGCCTTGATGAGACCTGATAAGCTAGGATCAGATAGAAGGGGAGGATGTCCTCACCTATCAGGGGATTAGGGGAGGTTTATAGGGGGAGAAGAGGGAGGGTAGGTTGGACGGGGAGGAGATGAGAGAGGGGTGGCAGAGAGGATACAAAGTTTATGAATTGTAATATATATAGAGAGAGAAAGAGAGAGAGTTCTTGTTTCACATCCTCATAGTCATTTGGTATTGTAAGTTTTGATTTTAATAGGTGTGGATTTTTTAAAAATACAATTAGCTAATGCTGTATGAAGCTGAATATTTTTGTATGATTATTGGCTATCTTATTGTATCCTTTCCCTACTGTTTATCAGATCATTTTTTTCTTCTGTTCTCTTGATTCTTTCAATAAAAGCCACAAATAGTTAATTTAAAATTATGTGGTTTTCTTATGAATCCTTGTAAATACTTTCTGCTTTCCATTCAACCAACAACCACACTTCAAGTCTTTGTTTCCTTGACCTCCTGTACAAGATTACTCTTTTCTAATGTTTAACAAAGCATAGGAAAGGTTCTGGGAAGCACCAGCTTGACCTTTAGGATATCTTATCAAAAGGCTCTTTAGTTGTGCTCTTAAGATTTTACTATTTTATTAATAGTGGATCTGGCTTTTAGCTTTGCCTAGAAGCTAGATCTTGTTTTGACAATTGTCTTGTCCTGTGGAGAAACTGAGAATGAAACAATGCATTTCTAAAGCCAACGAATTATAACTCATTTGTGTTTAATAGTTTGTTCCTTGAGAGAGCAAGATTTGAAGCTATGCCTATGTAGCTCCCATAGCTTGTCCCTGAGGGCCTGTCCCTTGATGTAGCCTGTAGTGGACTGTTTGTCCTATAAGCATGAGATCCTGGGTTTATTCTTCCCATGCCAGTGCCTTAAATAAACAATCCTGTCCTCTGGCCAAAAGGGCCTGTTACTTCTTTGTACAATGCAACTAACATTTCATTAAATCCTCAAAGAAGGGATTTAAACATAGAGAGAATAAATACTTGGGTTAAGGTATAGAAATGGAGAGAAATGTAAAAGTATGTTAGCAGACAGTTGCCACCAAGAACACAGGACATTTCTATTTCTTTTCCCTTTGCTTTGTTATTAGAACATTCAATTACCAGTTTCTAGTTTCTGGTGGCCACCTTTTACATCCCACTTTCAATGCAAACACTACATTCTAGTCTTCTGTCATTTGGTTTACATGGGTTATCTATCTTTAGAATACTCTTCACCTTGCTTACCAGTACAGTGCCTTACCTGTCAAGGCATAAAATGAGTGCTATCTTCTCTTTAAGACCTGTGTGTACATGCTCACATGTACATGTGCAGCACAAACACATGTGCAGTACAAAGCCACAGTGCCCCTGTGAAGGTCAGAGGTCAACTTTGGTGTCAATCTTTAAACCACTTCAGAACAGCACAAGTTAATGAAAGGTAAAGAATGACTTTAAAATATTTAGTCAAGGAAAGCTAATGCAGGCTGAGGAGATATTCCAGTGGAAGATTAAGAAAGTATGGCCTTGTTTGAAGGCCAGAAAAAGGCACCAGATTTTATTATAGATGATGGTTGTGACCCACCATGAAGGTGCTGGGAATTAAACTCGGGACCTTTGGAAGAGCACCCAGTGCTCTTAACCTCTGAGCCATCTCTTCAGCCCAACTCTTTCATCTTTTATACAACAAAATATTTTGTGTGAAAATGTTACTCATACTTCAGAAATTTATAAATCATCCTTAACTTCCATTTCTTGGTTTCAAAGATAGCCAGAGTTGAATCACTAAAGACTTTTGTCTGTCACACATATTTCTTTGGGCAGCTCAGAGGAGTGCACTTGTATGCACACTTCTAGATACCCAGGAATATATCTAAATCTTTCAGAGTTCCACATGGTTATTTTGTTATCTAAAACCTCCTTTCAGAATTCTAGCTACCCCCTTTCTTCCCCAAATGAAATTGCAGAGGTAAACAGCTGTGATGTTAGAAGCAGGCCACCGGGGTTTTCTGTTATGCCCTGGAAATGGGACTGTTTTTCAGAGCAGAGCTGTAAATAAAATCAAATAACACCTTGGAAGTGGAGATTTGCCAGGAGCTGTCAGTTTGATCAAATGTTGACTGTGCTGAGGATAAGATGGTACTTAGAGGAAAGTCCAAAACATTACACTGGTTGTCTTACTGCTAGCTTTTCATGGCTATTAGGCAGTTTGGGCAGGAACAGCTTCAAATTAAATCCTCTCAGACTCTGCTCTTCTTACTGAGGTCCATGAGGATTTTTGTTTTGTTTTCTGATGCTTCTTTTCTCACCCTCTTTTTCTGTATATGATGGGGATGGAACCCAGGGTCTTAAGCTTGCTTAACAGTCACTCTTCCTCTGAGATATATCCTTGATCTTTATTAGTTTTCCTTGAATAAAGTAGTTCTTTGCCTTTGGTTAACTTGTGGCGTTCTGAAATGGTTTAAGTATTTGACAGTATTTTGTTGCTTTTGTTGAGGCATTGGCTTATTGAGATTCTGAGTGTGTGGTCTCCAAGGTTACTTTGTTTGACAAACTCAATTGTTTCCGAGACATTTCCTTAATGTTTAGTATATCCTTAGATTGTGGTTTATGAATGACAGACAGAATACGAACACATTTTTTATTTTTTGAATTTAATTTATTCTCTCATACATTACATCCTGACCATAGGTTTCCCTCTCTCCACTTGTGTGAGCCCTCCCCCCACCTTCCCTCTGCCCCAGATATACTTCTCCATTTCAACAAATTTCTCATTGAAACTTGTGAAGATACATTTAGGACAATCACATTCCTACTTTCTTTTTCAGGTTGCTATTGATTCTGACTCTACAAGCCCATCTGATAATTTTGAGGAGCATCCTTTGACATGTCAAAAAGAGTATAGCAAAACTGTGAACACGGAGGCCTTAATGACAGTATTTCACCCTCAAAATTTGGAGAATGTTGATTCTAAAATGGTAAGGAAACAAAATAATTACATCTATGGGTTCGAGCATTGGTCCTCAAACTTCCTGATGCTGCAGCCATTTAATACATACAGTTCCTCATGTTATGGCGACCCCTAACCATAAAGTTATTTTATTGCTACTTCATAACTGTAATTTTACTACTGTTATGAATCATACTGTTAATGGGTGTTTCCTTATCTTAGGCGAACCCTATAAAAGGGTTTTTGTCAACACAGGTTGAGAAACACTGGATTAAATGGTATCAAAATAAAAAGGTTTACTTTTGAGGTTTGAAGTATGCCTTGTTTGGTTCCAGAGCACTCAAACTATTATCAATAGTGAAGAGAAAAGAGGAAATGTTGGGCCAGGCAAGAGTGGCATACACCTTTAATCCTAGCACTTGTGAGACAGAGGCAGGCAGATCTCTGTGAGTATGAGGCCAGCCTGGTCTATAGAGTGAGTTCCACGACAGCCTGAGCTATACAGATAAACCCTATCTTGAAAAAGAATTATTGGTTTTTATGTGCATTGATGTTGTGTCTGCATGTAGTATGTTTGTATTTAGGTGTTAAGGTGTGTTGAGATCCTCTAGAAATAGAGATACAGACAGTTGTGAACTGCCATGTGGGTCCTGGGAATTGAGCCATGATCCTCTGGAAGAACAGTCACTGCTCTTAACCTCTGACCCATCTCTCCAACCCCCTATTTACATGGATTTCTAATAATCTGTGGTAAAATGGAGTTGATTTGGGGAAGAATGATGGTTCAAATTTTTTACCTCCTAGCTTTGGCGACTTTTAAGAGTTTAACTAGTAATGATAGTAAATTACAACTGTTAGGTTTGCATGGGTTTATTCTTTTTTTAATGTTAAGGGTCCAATGCTTTACCATGTGAATATGATTTTTGATTTTCTAAGTTTTTGCTCTGCATATATTGTCTTGTGGAAAACAGAAGAAACAAATTATTTTAAATAAATTAATTTTTCACTGTTTAGTTGCCTTGGTTTTTCTATTCCAGTTGAAAGAAAAGATGAAGGAACAATCATGGAACATCTTATTTTCAGAATGTGGGCGTGGTGTTACCATGTTCCGGACAAAAAAGACCCGAGATCTGGTTGTCAGAGGGATTCCAGAGACTTTACGAGGAGAGCTCTGGATGCTATTCTCAGGTATTACATTTATTTGATTCTTTCATTTATTATGTCCTTTCTAGGAGTTATGTTCTAAATGCAAATGTAGTTAAGACATGAGGTCAGAATAGTCAAAGAGACAAAGATGTAGTTACATGTGCTTACCTAAGTATCAACATATTTACTATCTGGAAAGATTAATTCATTAGTCAAGATATGAAATTATATATAATTGATATATTTTTATAATATATAATTATATATATTATCATATATCATATATTAATATATGAAATATATCTACATAAAATATATAATTGGGGTATAGAGTGCATATCTGTAGCATCAAGGCAAAATTAAAGGAAAAAATTTCATGGAAATGCTATTCTGAAAATTATCTTGCTGTTCCAGACTCTCATGTAATGCTTCCCTTTCCTTCATTTTCTTTTCCTTCATCTTTTTTTTTCTTTTTTGTGTTCAGCTATTATTTTAGCCTAAGCCTAAACTTCAAGGTAAAAATAAAAAATATACTACTATATGCAAATCTTAGCTTTACTTTATTATTCTTTTTGTATAATTGCTTTTGCAGGTGCTGTTAATGATATGGCTACTAATCCCGGCTATTATGCTGAAGTGGTTGAACAATCCTTAGGGACCTGCAACCTGGCTACTGAGGAAATTGAACGTGATTTGCGTCGTTCTCTGCCTGAACACCCAGCATTTCAGAGTGATACTGGCATATCTGCTCTGAGGCGGGTACTGACAGCGTATGCATATAGAAATCCCAAAATAGGATACTGCCAGGTATAACTTCACTGTGATTCCCAAATACTATCTGCATATCTCAAATAATATTATTAAATTCAACTCCAGAATTTTGACATATGCTAATGAGAATAGAGGTATGGCTGAAATTGATAGTGACTGTAATTAAAACAAGTAAGATGATAGTGGGAACATTTTAAAGTATTGATATTTTACTATTTTCTTTCTTTAAAAATTATTTTTATTTACATGTATGTGTGTAATACATACATGAGAGTATTTGCCACATGTGTACAGGTGCCCTTGGTGGCTAGAATAGGCCATTGGATCTCCTGGAGCTGGAGCCACAGACATTTGTAAGCTGCCCAACATGGCACTGGAAACTGAACTCAGATCCTCTGAAGTACACCAAGAGCTCCTAACCACTGAGTCATCTCATTTTTTTTTCATTTAACAAATATGTGTGGATTATGTGTCTATAGAAGATACTGTGTCGCATACTTGCTATATGAAGATATATCGCATAAGTATCTCGTCATTAAAAATATATACATCAGGCCTGAGAACGTGTAGCTCAGTGGGTGACAGTGTAAACCTGAAAACCTGAGTTTGAATTTCAAGCATTGGTGTTAAAAAAAAAAAAAAAAAAAACCAGGTACAGCAGTAAGCTGTAACTCTAGAACAGGAGAGAGGTGGGATTAAGTGGATCCCGAGGGCTTGCTATCCAGCCAGTCTAGCTGAAATGGCAAGCTTTGGGTACGGTAAAAAAAAAAAAAAAAAAAAAAAATCATGTCTCAAAAAATGAAGTGGAAATAATAATTGAGGAAGAACCCACGACATTAACCTTTGGCCTTTACATGTGCCTGCAACAGAAGAACACATCCGAATACACATGTACATATGCATCCATACACAATAGATAGGTAGTTAAATTAATAATTCATTAAGGAATTGAAAAACAGAGGACACAAAATATTGCGTGAATATATTTTCATCTGGGAGGATCAGAGAAGGCTTCATGGAAGAGGTAGCACTTACAGGTCATGGCAGTTGGTGAATTTTGGGTATATAGAAATGGAGTTTAAAAACTTGCTAAGTGAAAGAACTAGCAAAAAATTGCTAAGTGAAAGCCCAATAAAAATAGAGGTAATCAATTAAGGACCATGCATGGAGAGCATGGAGAGGACCTAGACGCCCTGCTCAGAGGAAGCCCATACGCTGCTCAGTTTCCAATTGGGTTCCCTAGTAAGAGGTGCAGGGGCTGTCTCTGACATGAACTCAGTGGCCAGCTCTTTGATCACCCCCCCCCGGGTATGTGTGTGGGGTCTTACCAGGCCACAGAGGAAGTTGATGCAGCCAGACTTGATGAGACCTGATTGGCTAGGGTCAGATAGAAAGGGAGGAGGACCTCCCCTATCAGAAGGGGCATAGAAGAAGAAGAGGGAGGAAGAGTGGGACTGAGAGGAGATGAGGGAGAGTACTACAGCCAGGATACAAAGTGAATACGTTGTAATAAATAATAATAATAATAAATAGAGGTAAGTAAAGAATATGTGTAAAGTCATATACCGTTTAATAAAGTGAAGGATGAATAAAACAGCAGTGTATTTGGAGAAATCACCGGATACTTTGGAGTTAGTTAGGAATTTAAATTTGTTAAATTTATTCTTCTCTCATACAATGCATTGAGACTACAGTTTCTCCTCCCTCAGATCCTACCCGTTCCTCCCCACACCTCCCCTATCGCCAGATCACTCCTCTTCTGTTTCCCTTCAGAAAAGGTTGGTATCCTCCCAGCGATATCAGCCGAACATTACATAACAACTAACAATTAAGACTAGGCACATACCTTCATATCAAGGCTGTACGAGGCAATCCAGTAAGAGGAAAAGGGTCCAAACAGCATGCAAAACAGTCAGAGACATCCCCATTCCTACTGTTAGGAGTCCCAGAAGAACACAAAATTATACAACCATATCATCTATACACAGGACCTACACGCATGCTCCATGACTGCTGATTCAGTCTCTGGAGTCCATATATTCCCTGCTTAGTTGATTCTGTGGGTTTTCTGGTGTTGTCCTTGACCGCTCTGGTTTCTACAATCCTTCCTCTTTGGCAGGATTTCCTTGCCCCCACCTAATGTTTGGCTCTGGGTCTGTGCATGTTTCCCTTAGTTGCTGGATGAAACCTCTCTGATGACTACTGGGCTAGGCACCAATCTATGCATGTAACAGAATATCATTGAGAATCACTTCATTGACTTTTTATGTTAATCCTGTTTGGTTCTACCCTAAGGCTCTGGGCCATCATACTCTGGCTCTTGGCCATCCAGGCAGTGTTGGGCATGGGCTCCCTCTCATGGTATGGGCCTCAATTTAGACTAGTCATTATTTGGTCATTCACACAAGTTCCTTATCACCACTACCCCAGGACATCTTGCAGGCAGGACAAATTGTACAAATTGTAGGGAAATGATTTTTGTTCCTGGATTGGTCTCCCAGTCCCACCACTGTACTGTGTTGGAATGTACACCTTTAATCCCAACACTTGGGAGGCAGGGGCAGGCGGATTTCTGTGAGTTTGGGGCCAGTCCAGTTTAGAGTGAGTTCCGGGACAGCCAAGGATACATAGAGAAACCCTGTCTCAAAAAAAAAAAAAAAAGGAATTTAAAATTTATATTGAAGGCACTGTAAGAGTCCTTGATAAAGATTCTTTAGGGATGTGTTAATTAGGTAGTTGCTTGCTATAATACACAAATACATAATAACTGAAATATTATAGAATATTATTTATTAAATGATAAACTAGAAATAACTATTTAGGTCAGTAGAAAATTCTCCTTCATGAAATTTTTAAGGAACTTAGGCTATGGGTTGAAAATATAATGATGATAATCTTAGAATGAAAGCTAGTATTTTGATAGCCATTATGTGGAATCTACAGAACAACTTGGGGAGTATCATATGTTAACAATATTAACTCTGTCAAATTATGTACACAGGCTATTTTCCTCTTTATTTAGGTCTCTAGTTTCTTTTTCTAAAAAGATATTTGATAGCTTTCGATGAACAAATCTTATATTTTCCTTTGATAATTTTATTTCTAAGTATTTTAATTTTTTGAAATTATAGTAAATGGATTTTTGTTTCTTTTTATTATCTCTTGCTAGTATATTAAAACAGAATTCATTTTGTATAAATTGGTTTTGTCTTCTTTAGCCTTATATTAGTTTAGCTTTATATTAGTTCTAGGAGATAGATTGTGGGTTTCTTTCAACTTTTTTTAATTCTTTATTAATTACACTTTATTCACTTTGTATCCCCCCTGTGGTTCTCTCCCTCCTCCCGTCCCAATCCTCCCTTCCTCTACCCTCTGCATGCATGCCCCTCCCCAAGTCCAATGATAGGGGAGGTCTTCTTTTCCTTCCTTCTGATACTAGTCAATTAGGTTTCATCTGGAGTGGCTGCATTATCTTCCTCTGTGGCCTGGTAATGCTGCTTCCTCCTCAGGGGGAGGTAATTAAAGAGCAGGCCAATCAGTTCATGTCAGAAGCAGTCCCTGTTCCTATTACAATGGAACCCACTTGGACACTGAGCTGCCATGGGCTACATCTGTGCAGGGGTTATAGATTATCTCCACACATGATCCCTGGTTGGAGTATCAGTCTAAAGGATGGACATCAGAAGAAGGCGAAAAGAGGGAACAAGTCAGGAGCTTGACACAGAGGACCTCTGAAAGGCTCTTTCAAGTTTCAATATGTGAAAGTATGGTATCTAAATAATGACTTTTTTTCTTCATTCCAATCTAAATGCTGTTTTTTTTTTCTTTTTTCTTACCTAAATAAATAACATTCAAAATAAGGTTAAATGGAATTGTTAATACTATTGTTTTCCTTTTGAGGTGCCATCTTTTCGTCCAGGCTTGTCTAGTTTGCCTGGGCTTCAGTGATCCTCTCACTCCTGCCTCTTTGAGCAGTTGGGACTGCAAGTGTATCTCAGCACACTTGGCATGATAGTTATACTAAATGAATATTCTAGTTTTGTTCTTTGTCTTAGAGAGAACCAGTCTTCTATCATAAAGTACACAGTTAACTGTAGAGGGGTTTGGGCGGATTTATTAGGTTGAAGAATTTTCTTTATATTCCTAGTTTCTGAGGCTTTGTTCAATATGAGAAAGTGTAGAGATTCTGAGTGCAGTGAAGTATACCAGTAACCCTAATATTTGGAAGCTAAGGCAGCAGATCTTGAGTTCAAGTCCAGCCTTGGCTGCATAGTGAGACTGTCTTAAAAAGAAAAACAGAAAAAAGATATTATAATTTAATTGCAACATTTCTCCCTTCCCTTTCCTCTCTCTGGAACCCTCACATAAACCCCTTTCAACTCTCCTTCAAATTCATGGCCTTTATTTTCACTACTTGTTATTGATTAGGTATATGTATGTACATACATATATTCCTAAACATAACCTGTTCAGTTCATATATTGTTACTTGTATGTATGATTTCGGAGCTGACCATTTGGCACTGGAGAACCAATTGATACCCTCTTTCGAGGAGAAGCCCACCACTCCTATTCTCAGTTTCCTGTAGTTCTCCATGTAAGGTTGAGGCCTCATGAAATTATGTCAAATGATTTTTTTTTCTTTGTGCCCGTTGATATTATCATGTTTTTGTTTAAATAACACATTTCATTGATTCGTTTTCATATTTTGCACTTCTCTTGCATCCCCACAATAAATACCAGTTACTCAGTATATAATATTTTTGTATGTTCTTGAGCTTGGTTTCTTATTATTTTGTTGAGGATTTTACACTCATATTCAAAATATATTTATATGTGGTTATCTTGTAACCACATATCTTTGTCTTATTTTACTGTCAGGATTTCTTAGAATGAGCTGAATTTTGTTTCTTCCTTTTAGGTTTTACATTTTTTATGAAGAACTAGTTTACTAGTTTTAATTCTTTAAATGATTAGTAGAATACCAGTCCTGGTGAGACCTGATAGGCTAGTGTCAAATAGAGGAGGAGGAGGACCTCCCCTATCAGTGGACTACGGGAGGGTCATAGGTGGAGAAGGAAGGAGGAGAAGAAGGAGGATTGGGAGGAGATGAGAGAGGGGACCACAACTGGGATACAAAGTGAATACATTGCAATAAATGATAATAATAAAAAAGAAAAAAATAGTTATTACTATATAATTAGCCACAAAGTTTTCAAAGTGATTGAGGTCAATAAAAAATTCAATACCAAATAAAATAATTTTAAATGAAAAAAAAAAAGACAAGAATATGCCAATAAAGCCAGCTGTTCTTCATTTTCTTGGTAGGAAATAATTCCATTACTAATTTTGCCTCTACTGTATCACAATTCTGACTTTTGTTTCCTCTAGAATTTGTTTAGTAGTTAGTATTTTTTAAAGAAAATTGCCCACTTTATCCAATATTTCAACACACATTTGTTCACTACATTATTTCTATTTCTGTAATATTATTTGTATGTTACCTCTTTTCATGTGGTGGCAATTGGAGTTCACCATCTTGTTTTTTATCTTTTTGATTAAGTTACCTAAAAATATTTAGGTTTTGTTTTTGGTTTTGTTTGTTTGTTTGTTTGTTTGTTTGAGTGGGTGGGTGGGTGGTTCGTTGGTTTTTTTCAGACTGGATTTCTCTGTATACCACCCATGGATATCCTAGAACTCTCCTTGTAGAGCAGGCTGGCCTCTAACTCACAGAAATCTGCCTGCCTCTGCCTCCCAAGTACTGGGATTAAAGACATTTGCCACCACCCAGACAAAATATGTAGTTTTAAAGAGTATTGTTTAAAAATATTTTTTGGTAAACCTACGTAACTTATTTGTACAATTTCTTTTTAATACATTTTTTTTTTTAGTCATGTGAGAACTTTGTATAACATGTTTTAATCACATTTACCCTTCCTACTCCAATTCTTCCCAGATTCAAGCTCTTTCCCTCCCCCCCCAACTTTGTATTCTTTTTTTTTTTCCTTCCCTGCTCCATGAAGGCCAATTTATGCTGCCTAAATATTCTTCAGTGTATGACTGTTCACTAGAGCTTTGTAGACATATTAACGGCTGCATTCACAAAGAAAACTGACCATTCCTTTCCAAGCAGCTAAAGATTGCCAAGAACTCCTCAGCTAGGGGTGAAACTTTGTGCCCAACTATCTTTCCATGCTGACATTTGGTCTAGCTTAAGCTTGCATAGGTCTTATAGGTGCTGTCACAACCACTGTAAATTCATATTTGTATATACCCTGCTGTATCCAGAAGAAATTGTTTTCTTGTAATTGTTCACCACATCTGTTCCTTTCGTTTTTTCATTCCTCCTCTTCTGCAATGATCCCTGAGGTTTTAGAGGAGGAGGAGGAGATGGTACAGTATATACGTTCCAGTTAGGTCTTATTCTCTACACTTTGGCTAGTTGTGGCTCTTTGTGTTCTTCATTATCTACTGCAAAATAGTTTCTCTGATAAGGATTAGGAGATACCTTAATGTGTGGGTATGATGATATCATTAGGAGTTGGCTTAATACTATGCTCATTTAGCAAACTGAGAGTAGTAGAGTCTTTCATAAGATCAAAAATCTCTCTAGCTATAGTTTTTTGGCCTGATGATGCCAAAGATGAGTGCCAAAGATGAGTTTCATTTTGTGGAGTGGGCCATAAATATAATCAGAAAGTGGTTGCTTACTCCCACAATATTTGCACCACTTTTATACCAATGGGAACTGTCTTGCAAGGTCAGCCATTATTGTAGTTTACTGAGTTCACAGCTGAGTACGACTGATTTTCTTATCTTTTCTTATCCTGTTCTCTACCACTTTTTTCTTGCCAAAAGTCCAAAAATTAGCCAGTGGTGAGAATTTGGCCTTTTTCTTTCTTAGCATAAAGTATAGCTCACTAATACAGTGTTTGTTTTCTAAGCATGTGCAAAGCCCTGGTATGCCTAAAGAAATATACATGGACATGGGCGTCTAGACTCTTAAGGATATACTAGAGTTTTTCAAAGCCCCAAGGTTTTTTCAAATGGTTTTATTAATTTCTTGTTTGGCCCTGCTGTTACCCATTGCCTCAGGCAGCCACATGCTCAATAGCTACTACTTCTGATTAACTATAACAAACACTCTTGAGAAAAGGCTTTTGCGCTAGATAAGCTCTATATCAGATCAGGTAAAGACAGCTTTGTAGATGAAATTTTCAATAGGAGTATGAGACTGAATAATGACAATCCTCTACAAATGGTATTTTGAAATACCTTATCTCCAACCCCCTTTTTCCCCTCCAGTATAACTAGAAAGTTAGGTAACAGTGGAAAGGGAGAAGAAGAAAGAATATGTTGGAGGACCCTGCTGTTTGAGGTTGTAGTCTTACCAGTCTGAATAGCCTTTCTGAGCTTGGTGCTAGATGGAGGACTCATTCTTCACAGCAGGGCTTTCTACTGTCTGCCTGATCTCATCTGGAGAGTGTCTTCAGATGTGCCTCTCACCACATCTGATATATGTCCTTTGATATAGTTCCTCAGTAGTTCTCCCTTCCCTGTGCCTATAAGATAATTAGGTATTATGTTCCTGTTTACATGATAAGAGTGTACTGCCAAATGCTAATCAAGCATCCTTGGAGTTTCTAGTTCCAACCAAATATATACATATATTCTGGGAGCCTCTGACCCACTCCCCAAGTACTATAAAGTCTTTGTTCACCTGAAATAAAGTTGAGCTCTTTCATGGAAGTGGTTCCTGGAGGCTATTCTGTCATGCTCACAGCCTTCTGAGACTTGCACCCCATCTCTGCTCCTCCTGCCCTTGTGGTCTGGTAGACAACAGCCCCCGAGGGAAGAGGGAACCTACAAGAATATACTTAAAAAAAATTGTTAGTAGAAACTATAGGATTTGAATCAAAACTGGATGTACCACAGAGCTAAACAGAGACTTCTCTGTAGAGGAATATAGAATGGCAGAGAAACACTTAAAGAAATGTTCAACACCCTTAGTCATCAGGAAGATGCAAATCAAAACAACCCAGAGATTTCACCATACACCCATCAGAATAGCTAAGACCAAAAACACAAGTGACATGCTGGAGAGGTTGTGGAGAAAGGGGAATGCTCCTCCACTGCTGGTGGGAATGTAAACTTGTAAAACCACTTTGGAAATCAATTTGCTGCTTTTTCAGACAATTAGGAATAGCACTACCTCAGGATCCAGCTATACCACTCCTAGACATATATCCAAAGGATGCTCAAGTATACAAGAAAGACATTTGCTCAACCATGTTCATAGAAGCTTTATTTGTAATAGCCAGAAGCTGGAAACAGCCCAGATGCCCCTCAGTTGAGGAATAGATACAAAAATTGTGGTACATTTACACAATGGAATACTACTCAGCAGTTAAAAACAAGGAAATCATGAAATTTGCAGGCAAATTGTGGGAACTAGAAAAGATCATCCTGAGTGAAGTATCCAAGAAACACAAAGACACACATAGTATATACTCACTTATTAGTGGATACTAGACCTATAATATAAGATAAACAACTAAAATCTATACACCTAAAGAAGCTAGGCAAGAAGGAGGACCCTCAGTAAGATGATCAATCCTCACTTAGAAAGACAAATGGGATGGACATTGGAAAGAAAAAACAGGAAACAAGATAGGAGCCTACCACAGAGGGCCTCTGAAAGACTCTACTGTATCAAAGCAGACGCTAAGATTCTTAAACTTTGGGCAGAGTGCAGGGAATCCTATGAAAGAAGGGGGGAGATAGTGGGACCTGGAGAGGACAGAAGCTCCACAAGGAGAGCAATAGAACCAACATATCTGGGCACAGGAGTCTTTTCTGAGCCTGATACTCTAACCCAGGACCATTCATGGGTATAACCTAGAGTTCCTGCTCAGATGTAGCCCATGGCAGCTCAGTATCCAAGTGGGTATCCTAGTAAGGGGAACAGGGATGGTCTATGACATGAACACAGTGGCTGGCTCCTTGATCACCTTCCCCTGAGGGGGGAGCAGCCTTAACAGACCACAGAGGAAGACAATGCAGCCAGTCCTGAAGATACCTGATAAGCTAGGGTCAGATGGAAGGGGAGGAGGACGTCCCCTATCAGTGGACTTGGAGAGGGGCATGGGAGGAAAAGTAGGATTAAAAGGGAATGAGGGAGGGAACTACAGCTGGGATACAAAGTAAATACACTGTAATTTAAAAAAATTAAAATTTAATTTTAAAAAATTGCATGTACCAGATAACAAGATTATACAGTCATGAAAATTGAAATAACTAAGAAGACAAAGTATTTAATAAAAGGTGATGTTTTGTTTTGTGCATTGTAAAGGGTAGTTAATCATAGATAGTTATAAAATTTGTTTTCTCCAGTTTTATGGTATCATTCACAATTATGTGTTTTGTTTTAAATACTCATAATAATTAAGATTTTTAACCCATTGAAATCAGCCTACTTAAGATTTTATTTATTGTGTGTTATATGTGTGATATTACTACTTCATTTCCCTTTAACATTACTATATAAAATAACTGACTAGCAAATGTTAATCTGATTATATGCTTTATTTTGGACTAGCTTCAAGTCCTTATATTGTCATTATTAATTCCTCAGTTGTTGTTGTTGCTATTGAAAAGTTATATATTTGAAGAAGAGATGCAGTTATTACCTGAGCAATATTCACTTATTTATTTCTTTCCTATTAATATAGGCAATGAACATTTTGACTTCAGTATTGCTTCTATATGCAAAAGAAGAAGAAGCTTTTTGGCTTCTGGTTGCTGTGTGTGAACGAATGTTGCCTGATTATTTTAATCGTCGAATCATTGGTAAAAGCATACAAAAAATACATACACATGTACACATATACATATATCTACACATAAAGGTTGACTTAATTTCTTTTGCTGCTATCACCAAAAGGCACAGGCAGTAATTTATAAAGATTAGACATTTATTTTAACTGGTCATTCTAGAGGCTGAGAAGTCCAAGAGCATGGTACATCATAGTAATTTGGCATAGGATATCACATGGCCAGACAGGTCAAGTACACTAGAATTTGCTCACTTCTTTGAAATAACATGACCACTTCCATTATAACTTACTAATCCATGCATTAACTAATTTATTCATTAAGGCAGAGCCCTTGTGACCCAATCACTTGTGAAAGGTCCTAACTCTAAATTCTATTAATATATGAATGGAAAATTGGTTTAGTTTCTAATATTTGAAATTTTTTAACCACCAGAGACAGTATTTTCTAAACAATTGTCTATTTGGTGCAGAGTAGTTTTGTTTGTGGATGCGGTGGGTGGGGATTGTTGAGGCGAGGTCTGGCTGTATAGCTCAGGGTATATAGCTCCAACTAGCAATCCTTCTACCTCAGCTTCCCAAGTTCTGAGATCACAGAGCTGTACCAACACACCTGGCTTCTTACCTGTTAAATTTCCAGTCAAGTTGAAGAGTTGGTAAGTTGTATGGAGAAAGACAGAAAACACGAGCAATATGAACATGTCACACTGGCTGATGCTCTTAGGCATCAGCTTCTGATACTGTATGTGTCGTTGGAAGCATACTATGTATGTTATGTTTTTTTTTTGTATTTTTTTTTATTTTATTTTTCTTTTTAGTTACATTTTGTTAACTCTGTGTCCCAGCTGTATCCCGCTCCCTCATTTAAGTTTTTCTCTGCCATTCGATGTTCCTCTTTCGAGAATTCTCTGTTTAGCTCTGTTCCCCATTTTTTAAGTGGATTACTTGGTTTGTTGCTTTTCTGCTTCTTTAGTTCTTTATATATACTTCATATTAGCCCTCTGTCAGATAAAGGGTTGGTGAAGATTCTTTCCGAATCTGTAGGCTGTCTATTTGTTTTGATGACAGTGTCTTTTGTTTTACAGAAGCTTTTCAGTTTCATGAGGTCCCATTTATTGATTGTTGCTCTTAGAGCCTGTGCTGTTGGTGTTCTGTTCAGGAAGTTGTCTCCTGTGCCAATGAGTTCTAGGCTGTTTCCCACTTTTTTTTTCCAACTGATTTAGAGTATCTGGTTTTATGTTGAGGTCCTTGATCCACTTGGACTTTAGTTTTGTGCAGGGTGATAAATATGGATCTATTTTCATTTTTCTGCATGTAGACATCCAGTTGGTCCAGCACCATTTGTTGAAGATGCTGTCTTTTTTCCATTGAATGGATTTGGCTTCTTTGTCAAATATTGAGTATTCATAGGTGTGTGGGTTTATTTCTGGGTCTTCTATGCGATTCCATTGATCCTCCTTTCTGTTTCTATGCCAATACCATGCAGTTTTTATTACTGTTGCCCTGTAGTACAGCTTGAGATCGGGAATGGAGATACCTCCAGATGATCTGTTGTTGTACAGGATCGTTTTGGAGATTCTGGGTTTTTTGTTTCTCCATATGAAGCTGAGAATCTTTTTTTTCTAGGTCTGTAAAGAATTGAGTTGGTATTTTGATGAGAATTGCATTGAATCTGTAGATTGCTTTTGGCAGGATGGCCATTTTCACAATGTTAATCCTACCAATCCATGAGCACGGGAGATCTTTCCATCTTCTGAGATCTTCTTCAATTTCTTTCTTCAAAGACTTGAAGTTTTTCTCAAACAGGTCTTTCACTTGCTTGGTTAGAGTCACACCAAGGTACTTTATGTTATTAGTGGCTATTGTGAAGGGTGTTGTTTCCCTAATTTCTTTCTCAGCCTTTTTGTCTTTGGTATACAAGAGGGCTTCTGATTTTTTTGAGTTGATTTTGTATCCTGCCACTTTGCTGAAGGTGTTTATCAGCTGGAGGAGTTCTCTGGTTGAATCTTTGGGTTCGCTCATGTATACTATCATATCATCTGCAAATAGTGACACTTTGACCTCTTCCTTTCCGATTTGTATCCCCTTGATCTCCTTTAGTTGTCTTATTGCTCTGGCTAGGACTTCAAGTACAATGTTAAAGAGATATGGAGAGAGTGGGCAGCCTTGTCTTGTCCCTGATTTCAGTGGGATTGATTTAAGTTTCTCTCCATTGAGTTTGATGTTGGCTATAGGCTTGCTGTATATTGCCTTTACTATCTTTAGGTATGTGCCTTGTATCCCTGATCTCTCCAATACTTTAAACATAAATAGGTGCTGGACTTTGTCAAATGCTTTTTCAGCATCTAAGGAGATGATCATGTGGTTTTTCTCCTTCATTTTGTTTATGTGGTGGATTACATTGATGGATTTCCGTATGTTGAACCACCCTTGCATTCCTGGGATGAAGCCTACTTGGTCATGGTGGATGATATCTTTGATGTGTTCTTGGATTCGGTTTGCAAGTATTTTATTGAGTATTTTTGCATCAATGTTCATAAGAGAGATAGGTCTGAAGTTCTCTTTTTTTGTTGGATCTTTGTGTGGTTTAGGTATCAAAGTGACTGTGACTTCATAGAATGAGTTTGGTAGTGTTCCTTCTGTTTCTATTTTATGGAATAGTTTGAGGAGAATTGGTGTTAGTACTTCTTTGAAGGTCTTGTAGAATTCTGCGCTGAAGCCATCTGGTCCAGGGCTTTTTTTGGAGGGGAGACTGTTAATGACTGCTTCTATTTCCTTGGGAGATATAGGACTATTCAGTCTTTCTACCTGATCTTGACTTAATTTTGGTAGATGGAATCTGTCAAGAAAGTTATCCATTTCATTTAGATTTTCAAATTTTGTGCCATATAGGCTTTTGTAGTATGACCTAATAATCGTTTGGATTTCCTCAGTGTCTGTAGTTATGTCCCCATTTTCCTTTCTGATTTTGCTGATTTGTATTGTTTCTCTCTGCTTTTTAGTTAGTTTGGCTAAGGGTTTGTCTATCTTGTTGATTTTCTCAAAGAACCAGCTTTTTGTTTCATTGATTCTTTGGATAATTTTATTCGTTTCTAATTGATTGATTTCTGCCCTTAGTTTGATTATTTCCAGCCGTCTGCTCCTCTTGGGTGTATCTGCTTCTTTTTTTTTCTAGGTTTTTCAATTGGGCCATTAAGTTGTTTGTATGTGATGTTACGGATTTCTTCTTGTAGGCACTTAGTGCTATAAATTTTCCTCTGAACACTGCTTTCAATGTGTCCCATAAATTTGGGTATGTTGTGCCTTCATTTTCATTGAATTCTAGGAAGTCTTTAATTTCTTTCTTTATTTCTTCCTTGACCCAGCTGTCATTGAGTAGTAAGTTGTTCAGTTTCCATGTGCGTGTCGGCTTTTTGTTGTTTCTGTTGTTGTTGATGTCCAGCTTTAGTCCATGGTGGTCAGATAGTATACAAGGGATTATTTCAATCCTTTTGTATCTGTTGAGGCTTGCTTTGTGACCAACTATATGGTCTATTTTGGAGAA